AACCCTAAACCCTAAACGCCCTGAACCCTGAACCCCTAAACCTTAAACCCAAACCCGAAACGGCAAGCCCGAGGCCGAGGCCCAAAGTCCCAGCTTTCACTGAACCCTGCGTGCCGTGGTGCCAAACGGCCGGGTTCGTGTTGAACTTCTGCATCGGCCCTTCGATTCGCCTGCGTAGCTTATTCTTGGAGTAAGTCCCACGGTTTAGGGATTAGGGTTTAGGGATTAGGGTTTAGGGTTTAGGGTTTAGGGTTTATGGCTACTCTATGCCTTTGTGTCCATCCTCAAGTGGCCAGAGGACGCGAAGAACGCCTGGGTAATGTGTTCTGTCTATATATTACAGGGCAGAAAGCAAAACAAGTCTTATTTCAGACAATGTCTCCAATCCTACAACGAAAAGCAGTAGTAAACAAGCCTCAAACCCTGCACCACTCAGGGTTGAAAATTTAGTGGTGCAGTCCCAAATCCGCTAAACGTAAAATCCTAACTCCGAGAAGAGCCCCAAGCCCTAAACCCTAAACAGCACCCTAAACCCTAAACCCTAAAACCCAAACCCTAAACAGCCTGTAAAGGTGCCGGGACCAGGTGATGTGCCCAGCCACGGGCGGCAGGTTTCGGACCAAGGGCGGGCCTGCGGGGCGGTGAGTAACGGGCTGTTTCTAAGGTTGAACCCATGGGCCGGGTTTAGAGTTTAGGGTTTAGAGTTTAGGGTTTAGGGGCCTAACATGGGCCCTTAGAGGATTCTAGGGTCCCTTAAGGGTATATATAGGGTATATAGATATAGTAGGTATATTAGGGTCCCAGGGTTAAGGGCCCATACTAGGACCCCATGGGATCTACCTTAGGCTGTTGGGGCAACAAGTAGGATTTAGGGTTTCGGCTTAGGGTTTATAGGGTTTTGGGTTAAGTTTAGCGTTGAGGCTTAGGGTTTGTAGGGCTTGGGGTTAAGTTTAGGGTTTAGGATAGCGTTGCCTTCAAAAGGTATCTTTCAGGGTTGCTGTAAGAGCTCGTGGGCCCTTCTAACCCCTAAACCCCTAATCCTTAAAC